AGGCCCCCAACAGAGCCCAAGAGGCCCCCTAGAGGCCGCACGAGGCCCCCCAAAAGGCACAAAAAGACGCCCCAAGAGCACCCCAGACGAGAACCCTGAAAGGTCCCCAAGGCGCCCAAAGGAGGCCCCACGTGGCCCCCAAACAGCCCCCAAGAGGCCCCAAGAGGCTTCAAAACTGGCTCCATGAGGGGCCCGAGACGCGCGCCACGAGACCCTACAGGTGCCCAAGAGCCGAGGCCCTGGGCGGTTCGAACCGATTTTTTCGGGGACTTCCCAAGAGGCCCCGAGAACCCTGTCGAGGCCACGCGTCTACACCCTGAACGATCTTCCCGGAGCGGCTTCCCGAGAGGCCCCCAAGAGGCCCAGAAGAGGGCCCCAGGGGGGCCCCTAGAAACCTCAAGAGGGGCTTGAAAACTCGCTCCACCAAGAGGCGCCAGAGCAGCGCGCCAAGAGACCCAAACAGGTGTCCAATAAGTCTCTGACACACCACCCCGGCACGAGCTGAAGGCTCCTGAGGCTTCCAAGAGGCCCCCGCAACCCTCTCAGAGGCCACGCGTCTACACCTTAAAGGATGGTCCCACAGCGGTTTCTGGGGACATCGATTCTGAGCTGGAGGCCTCCCTCAAGACCCCTTCGAGCGTCACATGGGCCTCATAGACACGTCCTACACGATAATCCCAGAGGCTTCCGGGAACATCGATTCGGACTCGGGCCCATCGCATCCATCCTTCGGATGCGAGCCCAGGCGTCATACGCCTTTTTCGCCGTCGACGCTCCCAGGTCCCGCGTGCTCTGCCTGCTGCGATTCACCGTCGCTGGCGGTTGGTGCCTTCGGGTTAGTGCCCTGGGAAGGGGGGGATAAGAAATACGAGTGACGAAACGGCTGGGCCTCGCTAGAGCCAAAGCGCGCGCGAAGCGCGCGTGTGGTCGAGAATGTTGTTGCTGAGAGAAGAGGCCTGCTCGTGCCGCCGAAATTGTTTTTGGCTCTATCACGTTGCTGCTGGGCGGCATGCTCGCACGCGTCCAATACGACCCCAGGAGCCCCCCCCCGAGGCCGCCGAGAGGTCCCCGAGCCGTCCCCAGATGCCCCCTCGCAGATTTTCTTCGAGTGCTTGGATGCATTCTGGCATTATCTCGTCTTCGGGCCCCTGGCAGCCCAGGACGGCCCCGGGGGCCTTCAGGATAGCCCGAACAGAGAGCCCAAAAGGACGCCTACCACGCCAGCGCCTTTCGGGGACGGGATGCGCGCGTGTCTGATGGGGCTCGCTTTGCTTCTTCCTCCGCTCGCTCGCATCGGCAAGGGTAGGCCAGGCCCCTGGTTCCCGATCGCTGTTTCTCTGGACGGGATACCACAGTGGAGACCCATCCCAAGAAACATCCCGCTTGCCTCCAAGGTACCCTGGGTTTCGTGGCTTTCGATGGTTTTGCAATGGAAACCGTGACGCCCCCACACCAGAAATCGATGGAAGTCCTGGGGTCTCAGGGTTGGGTTTTTTTGTGGAAGGTATCATGTGGTCGAGCTCCTACTGTACGCCATATCAGCAGACCCCGCCATTGTAGTTCGTTTCCATTTTTTTTGTTTTCGGTGCGTCCGTGACGTCTTTGATGTGCTTTGCGGATGCAACTTAGATGTTCTGAGGTGTGGTCGTACGAGACGTGTCTGTCGCTTTTCGAAGAGAAGGCGGATATATCGGAACCACAGGATCAAACAACAAACAAAAAAACGCAGCAGGGGAGAGGTTGTGCTGGAAATGCGCGGAGGAGGCGGACAAGTTGACGCGAGAGGCACACAACTTCAAACGGAAAGCTGATGCGGAAACGAAGCCGCTGACGTGCTGTGCGCCAGGTTGCGGCGTATTTTTTGAGACGGGTCATCCGAATCAGAACCAGGCGCAGGATCATCGGACGGCGAAAAGGACCTATGCGTAGACTGTAGCAAGCGCGGCAGACCCGCGAAGGTAGTAGCCGTTGCGGCGTAGCGGTGGGGCGAGATTTGACGCGCGCGGCGCGCAACCTCAAGTTTCCGCGGCAGGGCCACATCAGTAGCGCGCATGAGACGGAACATCTGACGAGGAGAGTGAAAGTAGTGTGCGCGGTTTGCAAGGACCTTCGTTTCGCGGCGCGCAGGTGGCAGGCGTATCAGTGCATCGGCATGTGCAAGAGACCGCTTCCGAATTCGGCGTTTTCCGTGAGGCCAGACAGTGTCGCGCGCGACGTGAAGAATGGCACCCTGAAGTGCAAGGCGCGCAACTGATGCCGATTCGGGTGCCCGTGCCGTGGTCCGTGGAATTAAAATCAGAAGATGGGAGAACGCGGAGGAGAGCGAAGACGACTACGAGGAGGATGCCGAGAAGGAGGAAGCGCAGAAGGAGGAAGGGGGAGAGGGTGGAGGAGGAGGGGGCGGAGGGGGAGGAGGAGGAGGAGGAGGAGGAGGAGGAAGAAGAAGAGGAAGAGGACGAGGAGAAGGAGGAGGAGGAGGAGGAGGAGGAACAGGAGGGAATTCTAAGAAAAAGAGTCTGGATCTTGTCTCGGGGCCTCAGCTAGGGTTTCCGGGGGCCGTCGGGGCGATCCCAGAACTGCCGCTGCGCGTGTGTGCACCCAGGACTCCGAGACCCTGTGCAGGGTTTTTGGTTTTGCGTCACAGTTTCAGGGGTGCGTCGCGGCGTCTCGTCGGAACGTTTTCGGGAAACCAAAGCAGTGTGAGAGACCCGCGGGATGCTCGCTGGGATCGTTGTATTTTCCGGGGCTGACGTTCGCAGTGTTCGCCGTGCGCGCATGATTATCGAATGGCGTGCGGTGCGTCCCCCCGCCGAGCGTGGCATGTGAGTGTGAGGTTGAGTGGGGTGGTTGATCGGGTTTCGTCGGAGGTCTTTCAGGAGCGCCTTGGAGGCTGATGTTGGGTTTCGCGGCTGCGTCCCGGGAGACTCTTGGGGGCGTTCTGAAGTTTTCTCTGGGTTCCCTGGGGGCTTCTTGGGGCAACCTGGAGGCGTCCTGGAGCCGAAAGCTGGAAATGTCTGTTCGGGTTTCCCCTCTGGGCCCTATCTTGGCGCCTTTCCTGGGGCCTTCATGGGCAGTGTTGTTGTTTTGTTTGGCCGTCTCGGGGCCCTTGTGGGCCGTTGTGGAGCTCTCGTGGGGAGTTTTTTGGCCGGTTTGCACGCTGCGGCAAATTAGCTTGGCGAAAGACCCAACCACATGCAAGTGTGAGTACCGCAAGTGTGAATATCTTGGCCAATATCTTCTTCGGTGGCGCTCCCGATGGGGTCACGAAGCGCTGTACTGGGTGGGTGAAACGCAGGGAGCAAAGGCCGTGTTGGGTGGTGGCGGACGCATGCGGGCGGTGCCACTGGGACCTTCGGTGGAGCTCCCTTATGGGGCCACGAAGCGCTGTACTAGGTGGGTGAAACGCAGGGGGCAAGGGCTGTGCTGAGTGGTGGCGGACGCATGCGGGCGGTGCCAGTGGGACCTTCGGTGGAGCCCCCGATGGGGCCACGAAGCGTTGTACTGGGTGAGTGAAACGCAGGGAACCAGGGCCGTGCTGGGTGGTGGCGGACGCATGCGGGCGGTGCCAGTGGGACCTTCGGTGGAGCCCCCTATGGGGCCACGGAACGCTGCACTGGGTAGGCGAAGCGCAGGGAGCAAGGGTTGTGCTGGGTGGTGGCGGACGCATGCGGGCGGTGCCACTGGGACCTTCGGCGGAGCTCCCTTATGGGGCCACGAAGCGCTATACTGGGTGGGTGAATCGCAAGGAGCAAGGGCTGTGCTGGGTGGTGGCGGACGCACGCGGGTGTTGCCACTGGGATTTTCGGTGGAGCCTCCTTTATGGGGCCACGAAACGTTGTACTGGGTGGGTGAAGGGCGGTGCCACTGGGACCTTCGGTGGAGCTCCCGATGGGGCCACGAAGCGTTGTAATGGGTGGGCGAAGCGCAGGGAGCAAGGGCTGTGCTGGGTGGTGGCGGACGCATGCGGGCGGTGCCACTGGGACCTTCGGTGGAGCTCCCTTATGGGACCACGAAACGCTGTACTGGGTGGGCGAAACGCAGGAGCAAGGGCTGTGCTGGGTGGTGGCGGACGCATGCGGGCGGTGCCACTGGGACCTTCGGTGGAGTTCCCTATGGGACCACGAAGCGCTGTACTGGGTGGGTGAAACGCAGGGAGCAAAGGCTGTGTTGGGTGGTGGCGGACGCATGCGGGCGGTGCCACGGGGACCTTCGGTGGAGCTCCCTTATGGGACCACGAAGCGCTGTACTAGGTGGGTGAAACGCAGGGAGCAAGGGCTGTGCTGGGTGGTGGCGGACGCATGCGGGCGGTGCCAATGGGACTTTCGGTGGAGCCCCCATATGAGGCCACGAAACGTTGTACTGGGTGGGTGGAACGCAGGGAGCAAGGGCTGTGCTGGGTGGTGGCGGACGCACGCGGGCGGTCCCATGGGGGGTTGTGGTGGAGCTCCCTATTGGGCCACGAAGCCCTGTGCTGGGTGGGTGAAAACAATGGAAGATGGAGGAGGGAGGATGAGGGAGAAGAGGAGGAGAACAGGAGAGGAACGCGGGGACCGTCTCTTCAAAACGAGGACCCAACACCACAGGATGGTTGGGAAAAACAAAAGGCCAGCATGTTATAAACATACGGTTTCCGACGGGAATGTGGCAACTGTTGTTTCGTCGGGGCCTCTCGGGGGGCTTCTTGGAGGCCATTTGGGGCGTTTTGGAAGCATCTTGGGCCGTTTTGATGTCACCGCGGGCGTCTTCAAATGATTGTTTGACGATTCTGGGCCTTCGTGGACCGTCTTGGGGGCCTCTGGAGGCCTTTTTGGCCTTTGGCGGGGCCCTCTGCGCCCCTATGATGCGTTCACCCGGCGGTCATCTGCGGTCGGGGGGGTCATATTCCCAGTTTGGGGTCCCTGAGGGGGGGGGATTATGAGGGGGGAACAATCGCACACGCCTATACACGCACAAGGGGTCGGCGGATTTATTTGGGAATCGAGCTGTCGTTTGAGTTTGATCCGTTGCCTTTTAGCTCACGAAGGTTCAGGTGACCCCCCTGAGCACTGCCTGGCGCCCCCCGTCGACGAGGGCTGCCCCGTCGGGGCCTCTCCCGCAAGGCATGGCCACACCGCCGGGGGCGCCCCGAGGCCACCCGCCCGTGGACGTGCCGCCACAGGCGGCCCGCCGCCTCAGCTCCGACAGTGGGGCGCCGCCCGACCCGGCCGCGCGTGTCGCCCGCGACCTGTGCCCGCCCGTGGACGTGCCGCCACTGGAGGCCCGCCGCTTGAGCTCGCCCAGAGGCATGTTCGACAGTGGGGCGCCGCTCGACCCGGCCGCGCGTGTCGCCCGCGACCTGTGCCCGCCCGTGGACGTGCCGCCACTGGAGGCCCGCCGCTTGAGTTCGCCCAGAGGCATGTTCGGCAGTGGGGCGCCGCTCGACCCGGCCGCGGGGGTCGCCCGCGACCTGTGGTACGAGCTCTTCATGCGCTTGGACGACTACATGGAGCAGGTGGGGAACATGATGTCGGAGGCCTCGGAGGAGCGGCGGTCGCTGGCGGCGGCCGCGGGCGAGCGCCACGGCGAGCTCCTCCAGAGAGTGACCCAGGTGAGCTCCGAGGTCTCGGGCTTCAGGCCGCCCTCCCGCCGGCGGACCTCCGCCGCCAGCACGGCGCCGCACGAGGAGCGGGCAGCGGCCGGCGCTGAGGGTGACGGCGGCGGTGCGGTTGGCATTCGCCAGGCCATGATCTCGCCCCACCAGATCGCCAGCAGATCGCCAGCAGATCGACCGAGCACGAGGAGCTCCTGCGGCTCCTTCATGGAGACGCAGTCTGCGGAGCCGCCGACGGGAGCCTGCACGGCCGAGGGCAACACCGATGAGGAGGCGGTTGTGCAGCCTTTCGCTGCCTCGTCTAAGGTGCAGCCTGGTAAGCGGTTTTCCCGCGGCCCGACCTCGTTTCCGACGGAGGAGCAGGCGATGGCGTGTCCCAGCGGCGACGTCACGCCCGTCTCTCCCGGATCGCCGCCGGTGCCCTTCCCCCCGCCGCCGCCGGGCACGGAGAAGTTGGGGATGGCCAAGCCCAGCTTCTACGACGTGCCCATGGTCGACCCCTACAAGCAAAGCCACACATCGGGCTCAACGGCAAGAGATCGTATGACCTGGTGTTACGAGGCGTGGATGAATCTCAAGGAGCCAGAACGCACAGGCCTTCTTGCTAACCTGGAGAGGCGGGGACGTGCAGTGTTCGGATTTGTTATCTTCGCAAATGCATGCTGGATGACTTGGTTTGTCGATCATCAGGCGAAGAACTTGGGCAATGCCGATGACTGGGCGTATGAAGTCGAGAAGGCTTTCCTGATTATATATTGTCTAGAGCTCGCCCTAGCAATTGCAGTGCATAAGTATTTCTTCTTCTGCAACGATGACGCTGGTTGGAATTTGTTAGATTTCCTGATCGTTTCCATTGACGCCGTGCAGGCAGTACTGGCAAGTCGGAGCTCCGGGCAATTCACCGTCGGGCGCGTTCTCAGAGCTCTGAAGATCATCCGGGTGCTCCGTGTCTTCCGGCTCATCCATTTCTTGAAGGAATTGCGCCTCATTTGGGATTGTATGATCGGATCTATCTTCTCATTGTTTTGGAGTATGGTTATGATGGTGTTAATCATTTTCATGTTCTCTCTTGTTTTCGTGCAGGGCGCTTCAATGTATTTGTTGGCGAGCCCCGACGAAGATGACGGAAAAGTGTTGAAGCTCGTCGAAAACTTCGGCTCCATTGAAGATTCGATCATCAGTCTTTATTCAGCTATCAGTGGAGGAAGGGACTGGGGCGAGGTGTACCAGGCCATCGCACCTGCTGGGACCGTGTACGCGTCGCTATTTTTGCTGTTCGTCGGATTCTGCCATGTCAGTTTGCTCAACATTCTGACTGGTATTTTCGTCGAGAATGCCTTGGCTCAGGCTCAGCCGACAAAAGAGCAATTGGCAATGGAGAAGCACCGAGAAGAACTTGCGATGACGAATGAGCTCCGCAGGTTTCTCGAAAGCTTTGATACGGTTGGTCATGGGCGCCTCGATGTGGATGAGTTCTTCGACATGGTAGTTGGCAGCCATCTGCATGCCTACTTACACTCCATTGGTGTCAGCGTGAAGGAGCTCAGAGAGTTTGTGGTGTTCGTTGGTGCAGACAAGAAGGGATCAATCAGCGTGGATTCGCTGATTCATGGATGCTTCCTTGTACGAGGTAACGCCCGCAATTTGGATATGCAGCGCGCCCTCCTCGACATCAAGCGCATCAGGCTTAACCAAGACTGGATGGTCCGCGCTCTGAGTGCCCAGTGGGGTGTCAGGGTCACGTCTCAGAGGGAGCCTCACCTTCGAGTCTGGGGCTCGATGACCGAGTCACAGACACTGGAGGATGTCGATTGCGATAGTGAAGGCCAGTGATCTGCCGCATGGCCACGCGCGCAAAGATCGGCCGCTGCTGCAGTAGAGACTTGCCGCTTATGTAGAATCGCGGCACTCCTTGGGGGCTCGGCAGGCGCAGCTGCAGTCTTGTGTGCTTCGGCGGCTCGACCTTGTCGATCAGCAGGCCTGGCAGGCCCAAGGGAAGTGCTCAATGCCTCCCATGCCGTGAAACATCGGATGCCTTTCGGGCTGCCCCGCCACCGTGTCTGGATTGTGGGTCTGGGCTCTGGGCCTTCAGCTGACCTTTGCGGCTCTCTTCCCGACCTCTTCCCGAGGACCGCTTCATGGGGCTCTTTTCCCCACCACTTTCCGAAAACTGTTTCGTGTCGGGGGCATCGTGAAAGCAGTTGTGAAGCCTCGTCGGGCGCGTTCTGGGCCCTTGTGGCGCTTCTTTGGGGCCTCTTGGGGGCCTGTTGGGGGCTTGTAGGGGCGTCTGGAGGGCTCGCGGGTGCATCTTGTGGCGGTGAATTTGAATTGTCTGTCTTGGCTTCCGCTCCTGGGCCCTTCTCAGGGCCGTCTTCGGGCTCTCATGGGCTGTCCTTGGCGCCTCTGGGGCCGTCTTGGGGCCCTGCCGGGCCGTCTGCTGCCTTTCCTGTGGGCCTCTCGGGTCGGTCTTGGGCGCCGAAGGCGCCGTTCTCAAAGCCGCGGAGGCCGAAGAGTCGTGCATATTGTTTCCCCACAGGAATTGGAGGATTTTTGGTGTTCGGGGCCATCTTGGGAGGCTCCCGGGAGGCTTTGTGAAGCGTCCTGAAGCGTCCGTTTGGGGTCCCGGGGGGGAGGATGATGGGGGGGGAATCGAATCTCGCACGCCTGGAGACCCACAAGGGGTCCGCGGATTTCATGGATACCCAAAGCGGTGGAGCCTGGCACCCTTCGCAGCGGTTCCGCCACAGCGGTCGTGTTTATGTTTCTCGGAGGTCAAGTGGTCGGCAAAGACGGCCCAAGAGGACTCAAGACGCTTGAGATTGCCTCCAAGACAGCCCCGAAGCGCTCCAAGCGGGCTCGAAGACGGCGAAGACAGGCCTCAAAGACGATTTCCAGTAGCGTCCGACAGGCCAGGAACGCTCTAAGACAGCCAAAAAGGCCGGGGCAATGCAGAAAGATGGCTTCCGCGGGGCACGCGTGCACGGGTGCGCTAAACTCCTTGTGGGGCACGATCCGCGTGAAGGGCCGCGCGAACACGCTTGAGGCCGCAGGTGGACCTCCTTTGGGCACGCCCCGTGCCAGGCATGTTCCGAAATTGGCGCGGGGACGCCATGCAAATATGCTTATTCTGGGGCATGATTCGCGTGACAGGTGTGCCAACATGGGCGGGGGGGGGCGTTGTACGAACCGGGCCTTGAGGTGGTCCTTGTGGGCACGATCCACGTGATGGAGTGTGCGGGTGCGAACCCTGTCTCTGGGGCCGTGGGTGGAGATCCCTATGGTCCATGATCACGATCCGTGTGCGAGGTGTGTCGAAGTAGGCGGGATGGCGGGATGCGAACCTTGTCTTTGGTGCCGTCCGTGGATGTCCATGCGGGCCCCGACACGTGTGACAAGTGTGCCGAAGTGAGCGGGGCGATGTTATCAAGCTCCTCTCTGGTGCCGCAAATTCATTTACTTGCGGGTCACGGTCCGCTTGAGGGGTGTGCCACTGTGCGAACATCATCTCTGGTGACGTAATTAAGTGGATCTCCCTGTGGGACGCGACGCCTGCGAGGGGTGTGCCGGCGCGGGCGGGGCCTCAGCCAAGCCTGTCTCAGGGGCTCAGGTGGAATTCACTGAAGTGCGCGATCCTTGTGACAATCTATATCCTCCGATGCCGGACACTTTAGACTACAACTGGAGCTCGCTGGTACCTAAGCGCGCGCGAAGCGCGCGTGTATGTATTTTAATACATATATGTATACACACATATCACACCCGCGCAAGAGGCCCGGGCGCCCGGGGCCAGGGCCCCGAGCGCGCATGGGGGGACCGGGGCTTCCGAGACCGCTACCACAGCACCCCAGAGGGGCCGTGGATTCCCCAGGGTGTCCCAGACATCTCCAAGACGCTCCCAGAAGCCCCCGGGGGCCTTCGACCAGCCCCTCCACGGCAGCTTAGATAGCCCCAACGTGGCCCAAGATGGGCTCCAGACCGCAAGTACACAGCCCAAGAGGCCTCCAAGAGACCTCAAGAGAGTTCCGAGAGGCGTCCCGAGAGAGCCCGAAAATGCCCAAATCGTTGATTTCCATTGGTTTGTTCAATGTTTTTCGGTGTCTCGCGCTTTCGAGCTCCGACGCTCCACGACGGCCGACGACACCCCCAAGACCGCCCCAAGACCGCCGAAGAGGCCCCCAACAGAGCCCCTAGACGGCCCGAGGGAGCCCGACAATTGTCCGGGAGGAGCCTCAGACGGCCCAAGAGAGCCCCAGGACAGGCCCAAGCTGGGCCACAGCGCGGGAGCGGGAGGCCCCAGGGCGCTCCAAGGCGGCCCAGATGATTCCAACGTGGACCAAGAGGAGCTCTCGAGCTTCCGACGGCCGAAGACGCCCCGAAGATCGCCCCAAGACCCAAGACGGCCCGAAGAGGCTCCAAAAGAGCCCCAAGACGGCACCGGAGAGCCTGAAGATTGCCCAAGAGCAGCCCAAGACTGCCCAAGATAATCCCAGGAGAGGCACAAGATGGGCCCCAGAACGGGAGCGGGAGGCCCCAGAGCGTTCCAGGACGGCCCAGATTATTCCAACGTGGCCCAAGAGGAGCTCAAGACGGCAAACATACAGCCCACGAGGCCTCCAAGAGGGCCCACGAGAGCTCCGAGAGACGTCCCAAGAGAGCCCAAAGAGGCCCAAATCATTGATTTGCAGTGGTTTGTTCGATGCGTTTCGCTTTCTCGCGTTCTCGAGCTTCCAATGCTAGAAGACGGCAGAAGACGCCCCCAAGACCGCCCTAGGACCGCCGAAGAGGCACCCAAAAGAGCCCCAAGACGGTCTCAGGGAGCCTGACCATTGTTAAAGAGGAGCCCCAGATGGCCCAAGAGAGCCCCAGGACAGGCCTGGCCCAAGCTGGGTCACAGAGCGGGAGCGGGAGGCTCCAGGGCGCTCCAAGACGGCCCAGATGGCCCAGGCCTTCCCTCCCGCCCCCCTCCCCCTGCCTCCATTCCCTCCTCTCTCCTCTTCCTCCCCTCAGCCCTCAGCTTTCGTGTTCCTCCCTCCTCTCGCGGGACGGCCCCGCCAGAGCGCCAGACAGGCCCCGCCAGAGCGAGCGGGGCATCGCAATACCCTATCATTTCACAAGTTGCTTTGCCCCTCCCACCCCTCAAGGGCGGCCCCGGCAGAGCGAGAGGGGGGGTGCTATACCAAAGACAGTCCCTGTTCTGTTTTGCTCCTCCCACCGCACCCGAGGTAGCCCCGTCAGAGTGCACGGGGTGTGGCTGTTCCATAATGTTCCTCAGGTGTCGTGCTCCTCCCTCCTCAGGCGGACGCCCCTCAATCTCAAAACTGCTGAAGCGCCTCGGGCGAAAAAGACATAGTCAGCCTCTGCCAAAACAGCCCTAGCCTCCTCCACAGATATCGAAATGAGAGCCTGCTCTTCGAACTCAGTACGGGGCCTGGTGGGGAGACCTCCCTCTTGGGGCTGGGTACTCTGGGCGCCATCTGCCAAGACCAGCAGCTCGTTTGGCTCGCGCCTGGGTCGAAGCAGAATGGTTCAGGGAACTTATAATATTATATAGCGGGCCCTGGAGGGGGAACGCGAATCGACGTTGGCGCCAGCAGCACAAGTATCCGTTTCAGCAGCATCGCTAATATGCGAAGTATCGCGTCCACCACGGCTTCAGTACGATGCAGCGGCGAGGACTCTGCTAGACAAGCGGTTATATGTGCTTGTGCACCGCGCACTGGGCTCAATATTTGTGGCGTGCACATGTCCTCCACGAGTCCAGTCAAGCGTAAGAGGCTCGCTGCTCTTCTGATGGCAACACTCGCCGCCGATACTCACACGCTGCAATGCGCCGTGGCGCCTTGCAAAAAGGGTGGAGCCTTGCAAAACAAAAGGAACTTATAATTTCCTGCTTCCTGCTAACGCGTCTGTGCGAGCAAAGGCTTGTGCATGATCGTGTACTGACCAGGCACTTGAGAAGTGTCGCTGGCAATGTCCGTGTAGTGCTGAGTTGCGTCTGTGCGGACCTGCGAACTCACGTGCCGTGTAGTGAGTTTAATGCCCCAAAGCCTGTGTGCATACGTGAGGTCACCAATGCGCTGAAAACGTTGCAACTACTCGTGCACTCCTGGATAATGTTGGAGCCCTGCTAATATCCTAGACGCGCCTGCAGGAGGGGCCAAGCAGGACCATACTTTGGAGCCCATCGTAACCCATGTGCTAGTTGATCGTTTTCCAAGCTTACTTGATCCGTGCTCACCCGTTGCGTGCCTGAAGCTCCAACATGTTCTTACTCGATGTGGATCATGTTGCGTTTGTGTCTTGATGTCGAGTAGCTGAGACCACATATGACGTTCCCGCGAGAGGGCCCCAAGCTAGCGAAAAGCCCATCAAGTCCTGTCCTCCGGATTGTGCTCTCTGGTGTTGTGAACATACTTGTGCGTGCGGTGGCACCAAGAGAAACAGCTCAAGCACGAAAGCAGATGGTCAGTACACTCCGACTTCAAAAGGGGCCAGGAGGGGGCCCTTCCAACACGCCATGGGAGGACCGGGCCGCCAGGGGTGCCCCCAGACGGCCCAAGACAGCCCCAAAACAGATGAAAAGGGCCGCGAGAGGCCTCCATCAAGGGTGGAGAAACCACCTCGACCCCGACAATTCGCGTTTACTAAACAGCCCTGGGCGTTTACTAAACAGCCTTGCCCTGTTCGATTCCTTCCATGGGTGCGTTTACTAAACAGCGTCGCTTGTCGAAGTGCTTAGTATGGGGGTGGATTGTCTGCTCTCTAGCGAGAGGCCTCTAAGAGGCCTGCAGTCGCGGAAATTTTGTTCGAACACGCCCAAGATGGCCTCCAGATGGCCCGAAAGGCTTCCAACACGGCCCAAGGGGCCCCCAAGAGCACTCCCAGAAGGGCCCCAAGAAGCCAAAATAATTAGTTGTCCTTTTGGTACTTGGCAAATGTTATCGTTTCTGCCTGTTCTGCTTCCAGACGTTCCAAGACGGTCCAGGACGCCCAAAAATCGTCCAGACAGGTTTCCACCGGGGCGCCGAGACGGCCCAGGGCCGCCCCCAGACGGCCCAAGAAAGCAGCAAAATTGTTTAAAAGGGCCGCATGAGGCCTCCAAGAGGCCCCGAAACGCAGGCATATCGCTCGAACATACGCAAGATGGCATCCAGATGGCCCACAAGGCTTCCAACACGGCCCACGGGGTCCTCAAGAACACACCCAAAAGGGGCCCAAGAAGATTTTCCTTCAGAAGGCGACGAGGCTGCCCCAGACAGCAGTGGGCAACGGAAGTGTACAGAATGCTTTGATCGCTTCGCATTTTGCTGTTGGTTTCTCGCCCTCCCCTTCCTCTTCCCTCCTCCTCCTCCTTCTCCTCCTCCTGCGGAGACGTTTGATCCAGCACGCGGAGGTGCCGACGCGGCCACATTGTGCTGGCATCTGCGATTTTTCCGATGCGAATGCAGGCAGGAACCACGAGTGCTCTCGCAGCCCACGCGTCCTTCAGGATGCTTGGTCATCTTGCTTGCTTGCTTCTGGTGCAGCTTACCGATGCCCCAAGCCCGTCCCGGACACCCAAATATCGTCACGACAGGCCCGCACGAGGGCGCCGAGACGGCCCAAGACAGCCCCAGCCCAGCTGAAAGGGCCGCGAGAGGCCTCCAAGAGGGTTACGGTCACCGAATTCTTGACGCTTCGCGTATCCCCACCATCCCGCGCGGCAGAAGGCGACGAACCCCCGCGGAGCGGAGGCCTCACCAAAGAACAAGAAGAGGTCCTACGCAAGGGCACGTGGAACCGCCCCCTCCCCAGAATTAGGGAGAGATCCCTTGCGCTACACCTGGCCAAAATGTCCCCTTCCAGGACGGCCGCTGCCTGGAACGCCTACCTGATTTCCCTGGCCCCTTACGCTGCGCACTACGCCCCCCCTGACGCGACGCAGGAACGTGAACTGTGTGCCCAGCTGAGAACTGCCCTCGGGCTGGCCGGGGCCTCCTGGGTCCCTGACATAGTCCTGACCAGACTCGGCATATTCTTCCAAGTGCAGGGCACACCCAGGTGCCCTGCAGCAACAGCTCGCGCTGTCGCCGCAAGAGCGTTCGCCCTCGGGGACTTCTGGGGGCCCTGCACATTCCGGAAGCGGGCCAGCATCAGATGGAACAAACTGTTGAACTGGAGTGTCCTGGCAGCCCGGGCCCCAGAGGCGCATCCCCGCGGCCGAAAATGATCACAGAGCGAAAGGCTGCCCAGGCCTTACTCGTTACGAGACAACGACCCCACCTACTGGAGGGCAGGCAATATGGCAGGATTACCTACGCGGCGGCCTGGGCAGAGATGAGCAGTCATCACTTCACTACCTGGCTCCAAAAAGCTAGCCAAGGGAGAAGATGGCAGCCCTCTGTGGGTGAGGAGTGGCAGCTGCTGCGGTACTGCGCCACCTTCACCTGTGCGTACCACGTGCTAAGGGTGCTCAGCAACGGCCTCCCAGGCCCGGCAAGGCGCAGGGGGAACGACGAAAGAGTACCCCACAGATGTCCCTGCGGGGCGCCGGCCAGCAGAGTGTGGATAACAGCCGGCCCAAGCGACGAGGGGGCTGCCTGGTGTGTCAGATGCATCGGCAACGGACCTCACGCCCTCGCCCTCTGGCAAACGCTTCCCCCTGAGTCCCTCCCCCCCTCACTGAGAGCACAAGCGTGCGCCTACGCTAGCTCAGGTGGGCTCTTGAGGCCGCCGATCAGGGAAGGGCCTTACGGTCGTTGCCCGCTCTGTGGGCTGGGAGAAGCCACGACCGAACACGTCTGGCACTGGTGCCCAGCGGCCGCTCTCGTCTGGGAACCCATACGCGGGCCCGAGGACCCGCCAGCCCTGGCCCAGGCCATCACCAGCGAGGGCGTGCACCAACCGCTACTGGCCAAAGTGTCACACCAGATCTCCTTCCGTTACTGCGTCAACCTTATTGCCTCCCCCCTAGAAGCAAGTGATGCGCCTACTCTCATCCTGCGCGGGCTGGCCACCCCAAACACGAACCCCCACGAAGGGAGCGATGAAGAAGAGCAGGTTGATAACGACCCCCCCAGGGTTGGCCGACACGACGAGACGGCAGTGTGGACCGTGCGGCGTGACCACTGCCACACGTGCAACCCGTTTCCCCCTCCCGCCGGGGCATTTTGCGGGGCGGCTGGGCCCCGCGCACAAAGGCACGCAGACAGAGCAGGAGGCGAAATCCGCAGGCTCCCGGTTGTCAGCGAAATCCGCAGGCTCCCGGTTGTCAGCAGACACTGCAACCTGGATGACAGGCTTGTAGTGCTACAGTCCTCACATATCCGAGCGGCGTGGATTCCTCCCGGCAGAGGCTGGTTCCCATGCCCAAGGACTGACAATTCTCCCACCGCGTGCTGGTCGTCGACCTTCTGCCGAGAATGTCGGCTGCACACCACTACTCTCACGGCCAACGCCAGACTTGAGCCCGGCGACGAGATAACCGTTCGCGACTCTCCCTTTCCCGACTCCGACTCCACCCAGTGGCCGTACGAAGTCACCTTCGATGGAGGGGCAAGATCCATTGGAGAAGGCGAGAAGGTCTCAGGGGCCAGGGCCATACTCTGGCACCACAGCCCCAGCACCGGGGCACCCCGTGTGCTTGCCATCGCCATAATCGCTCTCCCAGACTGCAGCGACGCCCAAATGGCCGAGGTTGCAGGCTGCCGTGCCGGGCTGGCACTGCTCCCCCACATAAACAGCCCTATCCGCACGGCGCGGATTGTTGGCCTCAACTTAGCCGCGGTAAGGTACGGTGCTGGCACAGCCAGATACCGAAGGCTACACTTGGCTCAGCAGATGGAAGATGCCTTGGGGCAAGTCGAAGGGGCAGGCTGGGTACTCACTTGGCAGGCCGTCAGGCGCAGGCTCAACAAGGCGGCTGACAGTCTGGCCACCATTGGGGTGTATTGGGCAGACACCCTCCGTAGGGAAGGCGTTGCGGCTGTCACCTCCCACACTCAGTGGAACGGTAGCGACCCTCCCATTCCCGCCCACTTCCCCTGCGCCCCCCCCCGTGGGGCCAGCCTTTGCGACCCTATCGTGGCCGCTGAAGCTGCCCATTCGCTCGCGCAGCCCCCCCCCCCCCCCCCTGCCCCCCCTCACTCGGGTCGGCTTTCGCTTGGTCGCCGCAGCATATGAGCCCTCGCCGCCTCGGCTCAAGCTTCTCCCCCCGTGCATTCTTTCAGCATCCGCAGCTATCGGCTGCGCTTCCCCTCATTGCGCCGCCGCGGGATGGTGAAGCGAAAGAGCAACAGTGGGCCCCTGGCCAGATTGCAGTCTCCGATCGAGCACTGCGAACGTGGTCCCAGTGCAGAAGGCACAGTCAAGCCCTTCCGGGCCCGTGAATGCCCCTGGATGAGGTGGGCGCACTTCAACCAAGAGTGGTGCTGGTGGTGCGAGGTCTGTCAGAGATACTGCGACGGCAAGCTACATCTCCTGAGTGACGATCACCACAAAGAAGCTGAGAAGCAGAAGGAGCACGGGTGGCCAGACCCCAGGATCTATACCCAGCCAGGCAACCTCTGGGCCAGGACCCAAGGGTCGACCAGAGACTGCGTCACAAATCTCCAAATCGAGAGGCACGCGTGGCCAGGGTGGGAACTCCCCTGCCCAGTCATGGAAGAGGGCCGCGTGCACCTACCTGGCTGGACGTTCCCGGAGGGCTGGGACCACGTACCGGTCGAATTTCCATTTCGAGACGACGGGTTCGGCTTCACCTTTCCCACCGACACTATCCCGTCTGCCAACCTGCTGTCGCCAGACCTACACCGACGTGGTGGGTGGGGAAACCCATGGCTCAACGCAAGGACCTGGGGGGGTGCCGGCCCGCCTCCCCCTCGCACCAGCGCAGACGAGCTGCCCGTTCCCCCTAACCAGAACGACAGGCTGGCCGGGTCCAGCAGGACATCGTCGCAAGACCCCACCGATCGGGGCGGGTCGCTGCGGGGGGAGGATACCAGCTGGACCAGCGGCCTCCACCCTCACGCCTTGCCGACGTCCCCAGACCCCTCAGCTGATACCGCAGCCAAGGCGATTATGCAGCTGTTCTCCATGCCAGCAGACCGCCCTGGGGCACAGTTCCGTCTGCACATCCCCATTGAGAAAGATCGCAGGACCTACGACAGAGGGTTATCATCCTGTCCTGATTGGCATGGACGGAAACGATGGCCCCCACGGAGACGACATGGGACGGCTCAGTAAAGGCCAGAACATATCTGG